ATATGCCAGCATTATCCCCCTTGATTTGAAAGGAAGGATCTCGGTCACGCGCGGCCAGTTGAGTGCCACCACCCGCACCTGGGCCGCCACCACCACCTGGCAGGGCCATGCTCAGTCCTTGGCGGCTTTCCTTCTCCATGGTGGGCGGCTCCTGGGCGGCTGTCGAAGAGCAGCAGGTGGCTTCCCCACAGTCCTTGCCATCAAAGCACCATGACAGCTGCCGCAGGGAGGGTGAGAGGCTCTGCCAGGCCTGGCTGATGTGGAGGCAGCACCGAAGGAAGCAGCATGGCCAGGCGAGTGCTGCCGCTGCCCAATGGGCTCTTCTGGGGAGAGGCCATGGTGCAGCAGTGTCCTGGCACTGGGAGGCTGAGCCTGGCTCAGGCTGCCATCGTGGCTGCGCCCTTCCCCCTCCGCTGCGATCCACCTCTCCAGGTACTGGAAGGAGAGGCTCCTCCTGGCCAGGGTGCTCCAGCCGCTTGCCCTGGCCTTACCCTCTCCCATGGCCAGCCCCGCCGCTGCCCCATCGGCTGCCCTATGCTGTCAGCCGGGGCCGTCAATGGCTGCCATCTTCTGTGGCTCGGATGCAGATGGGCCAGAGAAGGGAGCGGGAAGGGGGCAATTGGGAAGTAGGGGACACCCCCCCTCTGAGAAGGAGGAGGAAGAGGAGGAGGGAAGGGGGTTAGGGGCATGTCCTCATTACCCCCAGGATTTTTATTTTTACCCCATTTGGGGCAATTTACCCGTTCGCTGAACACTGAAAGAAGACTGACACTTGGAAAGGTGGATGAACTGGAAAAGATACTCAAATGTAGTAATGCATCATTGGAAAGCAAGACTGGTATCATGTGAAAGCTGGGCGTTAAAGTAAGCTGACAAGAAAAAGAAATTATTGGTTTTGTGGATACCAAAATGTCAGAAGGATTAACAAGCAGCACTTAGATCAAATCAAGCCTGAACTGTCTGTAGAAACAAAAATAACGAAACTGAGGCTGCTGTACTTTGGGAACGTAATGAGATCAGTCTCTGGAAAAGACAATAATGCTAGGAAAAGCTGAAGGCATCAAGAAAAGGAGAGATCAGCTATGGTATGAATTGACTCCATAAAGGAACCATTATCTTTAGTTTGCAAGAGCTAAGCAGGGCTGTTAATGATAGGACATTTTAAGATTAGTCATTTGGCATAAGTTGTAGGTGATCTGATGGCACATAGCAACAACAATGTAGACAACACTGAAGTAGAAAAGCGAAAAAGAATAAATGTTTTAATTTAATGAAATGTAAATGTAGAAATGTTTTCAATAACAAATTTGAAAGACAAGATTCTCATATGATCAAACTGGCTCTCCTATGCTCTTTAACACCGACCTGATCTGCACAAATTTTCATACACGGCTCTTCAAGAAGATATAATTACCTGCCGCCCCCCTCCCCCCTCCCAAAAAAAGCAAGTACGGTACTGGCATGAAGTCTGGCAACCTGAACGAAGGATAAGAAATAAAACCAAGACAGCAAGACAGGAGTATAATTATTTATTGATGTCCATTTTTCTAATAACAGTATTGATATGCTTTCATAGTTTATATGCTACCTTCTCTGGGCAACTTGTAAACATAAAAATGCTTAAGGTCCCTCTTTAAGAACAACAAAAAAGCAAATATCTCATCAAATGGCACATCACACTTCCGGTCTGATCCCACATAACCCTTTTGAGCCTGCGGCAGCCTGCTCCAAAATGACCAGGGTAACACAGGGCCATTATCTGAATTTTTTGAAGGAACATAACAAGCTGCAGCATAGTTGATATGAAGCGAGTGTATAAGGTTAGTCCCTTTGTTACTCCTCCTGACGGAAATTTAGCAGTGAAAAAAAAACTATGTTCATTCAATCTATGTTCATTCTAAAAAGTGTTCCACGTGCTAATTTTCCGTGTGTCAAGGTGATATGATATTAAAAGTATAGAAAAAGAGAGCAAAATACTTCCCAAAATCCATTTGTATTTAAAATAAACAATCTTTGTTGTGATATTCGATGAGTAGGGGAAAATTTACAACAGGCAATTCCATCTCCAGCCTCCTCCTCCTCCTCCTTCTCTTTCAGCATGGCCCAGGCATGGGGGCAAACCCAAGGGTAAACCTTTCTAGGAGTCAAGTCCTAGAAATGTACAGATGATCTAACATGTCCGCAAAATCACGGAGTTTTGAATTTTAGGAATGAAAACAGCAGCTATTGGCAAGAGTTTCAAACGGGTTAACTAAAGATTTTGGAGATACTCCAGCTACTCAAATTAAAGAAGGGACTTGGATTTTATTTCCATACTCAGGCACAAACGCAAACTGTCGCTTGTCACTTCTGTTGCCAAGACTAGTCCTAACGACGTTTAAGGAGAAGCCCTAACTTGGCACCTTTCGAGTAACGATGCTTCGAGCGGCATCTCGAGAAGAAATTAATGGCTGAGAGATCAGCTTGGCGGCGAGGGGACAACAAGAGCAGCCGCTGAAAGGCACCGCGACGCTTCCTTCCAGCCGCCTCTAGCGCGGCCTCCAACGGCAGCCCAGCACCGCTTTTAAAGACGCCATTTCCCGACGTCCTCGGGCCCTCTCGGGGCCCAGGGGCGCTCAGCCAACTCTCCGTCTCCTCCTTCCACTTCAGCGGAGAGAAGCCGGCCGAGATCCGTAGAAGGATCGCGGGAGAGGAGAAGGCTTCCGTGTGTGGCGTTTCTAGGAATTAGAGGACGGTCCCTGACGCGCCCAATCCCCGGCCTGAGAGAAAAAAAGAGCGAGCGAACCGTGCCGGCCTGGCCATGAGTTACCTCAGAGGAGACGCCGGGGCCGTCAGGCCTCTGTTAGACTTGTAAGTGACCGGTACTGGGAGCAGGACAAGTGGCTCCCCGCTATATATGTGTGCCCCTTCATACCCACATGCCCTTGTTTCTTTCCATTTCTTCCTCCCCACCTCCATCACTCCCCTTGTTTATTCCGGAGTGCTGTATTTCGTTCTCTTCCCCTTTCGCCTAATCGCCCGGCCCCTTTCGTGCTGTGGTCCCCTGAAAGAAAACAGTAACCGGGAGGGCTCCTCGGAGCATGGGCAGGGGAAATCAGCCCCTCGCCCGACTAGAACCTTCAGGAGCCCCGTGCGGCGGATCCCTTACGCCTTGCTGCGTAAACAACAGGATCACAACGCCCCCCCCCCCGCAAAACGATTCTGCAAAAAAGTACCAGCGCTGCTGAGGGTGCTCCTCTCCTGTTTAACAGTTGGGAGTTTCGGTGTAAATACAGGAAAACCTGCCTCTGGGAGTAGCTAGAAGCGTGGACTTTCACATTGTAGCTTTGTTAATGCACACTTGAGAGTAATAAATCTCCCTGAACCCAGAAGGGCGTATTTATGAGTAAATCCTGTGATAGGAATGCCAAAGGTTACTGGTTTTTCTCCAGCCCTTCCTTAGCTCTATGTGCAGGGTCTCCTAGCTTTTGTTGGGAAACAAATTTCATGGAATTCCGTGGGATTTTGGCCCTGAATGAACCTCGGATAGTAGGGTATTCACTGTCTTTATGATTTTAATGACAGGTTGGTCTGCTGGCATTAGCAGATAACTTCGGTTTCTCCTCTTGAAAATCGCCAGATGCTGATTTCTATAACAGAACTCTTGTTACAGGCACAAGGGGATGCTGGTCTCCCAGCTCTTTCCTCCCTTGAAGCAAAACATCTTGTGGCAGTTTAAAGATTATCAGGTTTCATTTGGCATAAGCTTTTGTGAACATTAGCCGATTTCTACAAATGCTTCTAAAGAACTGGGCCAACCTCTGCACAACCTTATGCCAAACAAAATTGGCTGTCTTCAAAGAACTGCAAGACACCATAAATTTTGTTGCAGCCACCTAAGATGGCTACCTTACTGGAAGGATGGGGAGTCAGCAATACTGATTTATTGTGTTTGTGCCACAGCAACAGAAGCCCTTTTCAAGTAGCAATATCTGCCTATGATGGGAAAGAGCATATCTGAATCCAGGCACAATTGTTTCAGAGCTGTGTGTTACCCTTTGCACTTTCTCTAAGAAAACAAAAACTGACTTTAATAACAGGTTGATACTTTCGAAGAGGTTACCCTTTTAGTCTATGTTAGCATATCAGGCAGAACCAAAAGGAAAATAAATAAATAAATAAATAAATAAATAAATAAATAAATAAATAAATAAATAAATAAATAAATAAATAAATAAATAAATAAAGATTACTGGCTATATTTTGTAGACAAGCTTGCTTGTCTAAGGAATTGGATTTTTCCAAAAAAAAAGTCTTTTGCTTCAAGGAAACCACAAAGCAAATAACTGATGCATGTGACTGGCAAACAAAAGAGTAACAATAATAGAAGTGGCTGTAGAAGCAAATGGCTTTTTCCTGTGTGTCTTTGGCTTAGTAAACTGATGAACTTTCATCAAATAGGCAGAACTGCAGACTTGTCTAAGAGTGGTTTGAACATGATTATCTTGTGACTCATTCTTACTCAATTGTCTTGTGACCTTCGATTCAATAATTGCACAAGAACTTAGGGCTTGTGCAGTTATACATTAACCACTTCCTTTGTTTCTGGCCTACATGAGGAAAGGTCACAGTTATTAGGAAACTGTTTATGTGCAGTTTGTTGATTGGTGAAAGATAAATACTTGTAACTTGCTAATTGGTAGACTCAGATGCTGCACTCCTCTTTTCTGTTAAGAGAAACTATAAAAGCTGGATGGCCAAGCCATGCAGACATACCTCCTTTTGCTCTTTGTATTAGGCATATCTTTCACCAGTGAAATAAACAGTTTCTATCTATTTTGCTGCCTCATTTGCTTCTGTTAATCTGCTTCTACCCCCTCATCTGAGAGAATGAGCTTCCAGGTGAACACTTCTCTCACCTGCTACACTGGTTCTGGGTTCTGACACAACAAGACAGGTTGTGGTTTGTTGAATACATTGTTTTTTCTTAACCAGAAGAAAGCCAGTATTATATGCCGAAGTTTGCTTTTGACTTATAAACTTTGGCTTGTTGAAACCATGGTCTGTTGTTGCTTTAACTAGGCCCAGACTAATGCCTTCTCACTGGCTTGTTTTCCTACTTGCCAGCTATAAAGGATAAAAGAGATGGGATAGAAACAGAATGAAAGTGGGATAAAATAAACTGTGATTTGTTTGGATGTTTGTGGGACAATTTATGGCTAACAAAATTAAGGCTTAGTGTGACATTCAAATGTGGTCTATATCCTCATGAATTTGTTCAGTTTACTGGCCTTCTATCTTCATAGAACCATTGGCAACACTGATTAGCCAATTGAGGAACTCTTATGTCTATAATGAGATAATATTGTAATTTGCTTTGTAAAATTTTTGTTGCATTTCATGGGATGTTGTCAGAACAGCTTGCATTATGGGAACAACTGTAGGCATCCTTCAGTCTCGACAGACTATGGTAATACATATGCTCTGAATAGAGGTCATGGAACAGCATCTAGTGTGGCTGAGCAGACCAATTTGAGAGTGACAATCCCTTCCACGCTGAAGACAAATATAGTGTGTCCACTGTCTAGCTCTCTGATTTTGCTGGTTTGGGGACTGCATCTTTGCCTCGGCCTGCTGAACAAGTGTCTCTTCAAATTGGGAGAGGCCATGCTACATCGCCTGCCTCCGGGCTGAGCGCTCAGATGTTAAGGTCTTCCATAAGTTGAGGTCAATTCCTAAAGCCTTCCGATCCCACTTGCAGATATCCTTGTATCACAGCTGTGGTCTCCCTCTGGGGCGCTTTCCCTGCACTAATTCTCCATAGAGGAGATTTTTGGAATCCGGGAACAGCATAGTTTCCATAAATAGAAAGTACAAAAAGAAAGGTAACAAACTTTGAGTTATATAATAAACAATTATTATCATATAACTCACTGGTTCTTAACCTTGGGTTACTCAGGAGTTTTGGACTGCAACTCCCAGAAGCCTTCACCACCAGCTGTCCTGACTTGGGTTTCTGGGAGTTGCAGTTCAAAAGCATCCGAGTAACAAAGGTTAAGAACCACTGATATAACTCAAACATATTGCAGAAAACAATACAGGTGTGGGGAGAAAACTTACAGACTCCAAAATATGGGTTGCAAAGCAAAAGTAGCACCTTTATTCAGTGTAGCTATGCTGTCACTCCTCGGGGAAAAAAATGAGCTACATAGCCTATGTGTACGATTTGAGATACTCACACTTTAAAACTGGAAATTTTTGAGACACATCTGAACATAATTTTCCAGTAAGACAATTCCGTTTTGCTTTTACTCATATGACTACACTTGTCCATACAAGAAATTACTCTTATAATTCCGTTTTGCTTTTACTCATATGACTATTCCATACAAGAAATTACTCTTACAAATGGGTAGCTCTAAATTCAAGCCTCCAAATGGGTTTGTAGATCTCTAAAATGGAGGGTGAGCTCTTCACAAGGCGAAGGACAAGCTGGCATCCTACACTTTGTTATAACATCCAGCCAGGATTAAGATTTAATCCTTATTGCTGCAGTGGCAACAAGACACCATATTCCATTACACCTGAGGGCAGCATCTGGGCAGCTTACTGCTGAGCTATCTGGAGCAACAGACAACGTTAGAGGTCGGCAAGATATCCCTCCAGATATTGTTGGACTTTAACTCCCACCAGCCCTAACCAGCAGAGAGTGCTGGTGGGAGTAGCTGCCCAGATAAAGAGTTACAATTAGTATACGAATATCCTTGCACAGGTGGCAATAATGAAAGTCTAGCCCCATGAGGCCAGATGGTCCATTCACCGATTTGCCGCTGCAGCGGACACTGCAATTCTTCCAGTGGCTCCCAGATCACGATCAGCTAGCCACTCCTGGCAAGAGGACATGCCTTGCTGCAAGGTCGAACAGTGGCTAGCAGATCCCCATCTGCAGAGCCATTGGAAGAATCATGGCAGTGGTGGCGGATCGGTGAGTGGACCCTCGTTATTGTCACCCGTGCAGGGATATTCGTATACCAATACCCCCATCTCTAGTTAGAATGCTAATGCCATAAGAACTGCCATTATTCAGCCAAAACTTTATAAAGTGGTTAAGAATAAAGCATGCTAGAAAACACAGGCATAAAGAAAGAGAAATTTTTTAACTGTTGTTTTGCACTTGGTATGTGATTGGAAGTTTTATGGCTTGCAAGAGTTTGTGGGTTTTTTTATCTGTAACGATTGTTCCTTCGTTCTGAGAATACACCACTGTGAAATATAGGTTATCATGTTTTGATACTTATGCATGCTCAGTTGTGTCTTCTGGAAAATTCCTATACCAGGCTGAGGTGTCTATATAAAGGTTGTGAAAGCTGTGTTGTTCTGGGATTGTATACAAAAGCTCTTACATCCATGCAGGCCTAATAAAGTGCTTTTTGTGGCTACTTAAACCCATTGTTGGACTTGTTTGTCTACTTTTCTCTCTCCACACGATAGCTGGAAGGCCACATATTCTGTGTCCTTGAACTAGCTTAAGAGACAGAGGGGGAATGATGGAGTCAGGTACCACCCTAGTTCCCAGCATATTGTAGCTAAGATGTTTCTGAGAAATAAAAAAAAAATTGAAGGGATCTGTGATGATTTAAAGTCAAGTACACTTACTACAGCATGAACTTTTGCTTTGTGTAATCCATTTCATCTGATGCATGGAGTATTGTTTTGAATTTTAGACATTAATGGAATGGGGTTTTGGAAACCCCATAATGACAGGAGAAAATTGTCAATTGGAATTCAAGACCCCTATGAATTCCCCCAACAGAAATGGGCAGAGACACGGAAGTTGCAAAATGGAGACTGTTTTATTTTTCGCTGCTGCAGAAAGCGGAGAGAGAGTTCAGCCATGCAAGGCCTCAGTCTCTCTACCAAGAGTGTGATACACATATATAATATAGGCTGTCCGGGCAGTCCGTTACGGCTCACAACCTTCCATATAAGGGCACGTACTAAATTACTACCTTTTCATTGGTTTTACAGTTCAAAGCATTCTATTCTACTACGCAGCCTCGCTTTTACGGAGCCTGCCTTTACCCTGAGTCAGCTCTTTTATCAGCTCAGGCAGCTCAGGAATTTTTAATTATGACCCACGCACAGATGGCCCCGTACTCCTCTTTAGTGAAGAAGTCAAACTCTCAGCAATTTTTCTACTCACAAAATTGAGGGTAAAAATTACAGACTGTTGCAATATATTTTTAAGAATGACCATTCATCAGGCTGTTATTCACTATACAACTTTCTGACACTAGGTAGGCCACTTTCAAAGCTGTGTTTGTCTGTTTCAGCATGTTGGCAACATTAAATATGGTGTGCGGAGAGAGGCAGGGGAAGCAGAATATTGTGGCATTTTAAAGATTAACATTTATCACAGTGTTGAGTTTTGATGGATCAAAATCCATTTCAGATGTCTGGATCGGAAATACATATTCTCTATACATATCCCATTCACCAGGAGTGGATATTGCTAATAGACAAAAATGTCGATGATTCCTTAACCCATGAATGTGACTATCAGGCTGTTACTTTAATTAATGTAACTTGGCCAGGGTGACATGTATGCCAGCTGGACTTGGTTGTCACAAGAATACAAATATTTTTTTCTGGACCATGGAGGTCAGTGTCTGTCAACAAGCATTCAACATCTGGGTATGAATCAAAATTTTATAATAAATTGTGATTCAGCCATCTTTTACTCAGATCTCAGTGTGATATTTCTGTACAGTGTCCATGTTTAATATCAGTTTCCTGTGAGTTTGGAGAGTGTTTTATTAAAATATTGCCTTTTCTGATGTCAGATTTGTGCCCATTTTCCTTTTTGCCGAAGACGGTCTGTATCACATACAAAGATGAACAAATGAATGAGCCACTGACACTTCTGGCAACCTTAGGTTCTCTAACTGAGTTACCATAGCAGGGGAGGGCGTGCTCTGCTGCCATGGAAGATGGCAGCATGAGAGACTAGCTCCGCTCTAAGCCTGCCTATTATAAACTAATTGAACATACAAACTGGCAATTAGTGGAAAATAATCATAAATATGGGGAAATCAAAGATGATGGCTCAAGAAAACAAACCGGATGGTTCTTCAGAAGTTGAGGAGCAAGCCAATTCTTTGTCTGAAGATAGTGGCAGCGAAAGAGGCAGTAAGATGAAAGGGAAAGGGCAAAAGAAATCGGCTCGGCTAACAAGCAGAGCGATATGAAACAGCTCTTAAAACAATTAAGGAAAGATCTACAAACAGACATGAAAACTGTTATACCACTGAAAGATGCATTAGTAGAGCTGAAAGTCAGTATTGAAAAGGTAGAAAAGACTGCTAATGAGGCTTTTGAATTGGCGCAAAACCAACAAACAAAGACTGATGCTGTAGAAAAGGAATTAAAACTATTAAAAGATAAGATTGAATACCAGGGGAATCGTGATCATAAACAAACTCTGCATTTAAGATTTTTTAAAGAGCACTTAAAAAGCATAGTTTTTAAATGGATCCAGGATCTCTGCCCCGACCTGAAAATTACAGAGAATACTTTGAAACGAGTTCATCGCGTGGGTTATAAATAACAACTGAGATACATATTCATAAGGTTTGCCTTCTGCACAGCATGAGTGGCTGTACATTGTGCATTAAACAAAGCGGAAGATCTGTCATACTGAGGTGAAAAGATAGAAGTCTATCAGGATATGGCTGTGGAGACAATCCAGAAATGTACAGAATGGAGACTGTTCACAGAAACACTTCAGAACCAAAAAGTGAGATATGCCTGGGCATTTCCCTTTAAACTAATTGTCTGACATGGACAGAGACCTAAGACAGTAACAACAACAATGCAGCTACAAGATCTCTTGAGAGAGATGAAGATTCAAGTGGCAGAGAAAACTGGGTATATGGTAATCAAAATGCTCAGGAAGAAGGAAGACAATCATGGTGGAACAGAGCAGGGGGGGGAGGGAAGTAGTTAACAAGCAGAAACCCTAACCCTGAACACTCCCTGAGCTGTCTCAAGGTTGCAGCTGGACTTTTATCTCTGCTGAGAGACGATAAGCAATGGGCTCTTCTTTTTTCCTTTTTTCCTTTTCCTTATTTTACTTTTCTCTGTTTCAGATTATACTACTGGGCTCTTGGGAGCAAGATGATGATTTATAATTTTAGGTTGATTTATAAAGAGTTTTTGAACTGAATCATACTTAAAATTGAGGACTTTACAGAAGAAAGAACCTGAAACAATATGTAAATACATGTTTGCCACAGTATATTGTGTGTAAAAGGCAGGCGAAAAGAGTGGGTAAGTCTTAGCTAGAAGCTTTGCTTCTAGCCTCACAAATACCCCAGAAGATTCAGCTCAGTCTTTTTTTCCAATTTTTTTTTTTATTTTTTAACATAAGGGATGACAGAAAGGAAAAAGGGAACTGGAATTAATGAGGAAGAGAGGAGACAATAACATGCTAATATCCATTCTATACTTATTGCCATATCAAAATTTTAAATTATTCTGTTTACTCTTTTCGGAAGGTTCAGCTCAGTCTTAATGACCTGGGGGTTGTATTGCCTCATCACCATGTCTGGGGTTGGAGTGGGGGGGGGGAGAGAAGGGATGGAAGAAGAAGGAGAAGGAGAGGGAGGGAAGGTGGGAGGCAAGAAAGGAACTGAGGAACTGAGGGGAGACTAGGCATACAATCCTGCTTTAGATGGTTATACTATGAGCACTTAACAGATAAGCATATACAGATTACATGGCCAAAAATATTGGCACCCTTGCAATTCTGTCAGAAAATGCAACCCTTCTATCAGAAAATTGTTGCAGTTGCAAATGTTTTGGTACTCACATGTTCATTTCTTTGGTTTGAGTTGGAACAACACACAAAAAAAACAGAGAAGAAAAGTCAAATCTGATACAATCCCACACAGAAACTCAACAAAGCACTGGCCAAAATTATTGGCACCCTTAACTTAATATTTGGTAGCACCGCCTGTGGAAAAAAATAACTGAAATCAGTCACTTCCTGTAACCATGAATGAGTTTCTTACTCCTCTCTACTGGAATTTTGGACTATTCTTGTTTTGTAAACTGTTCCAGGGCCTTCAGATTTGAAGGATGCCTTCTCCCAACTGCTGTTTTGAGAGCTCTCCACAGGTATTCTATGTAATTCAGGATCTGGATTAATTGCTGACCATTTCAGTTTGGATGTGCCATCTTGTCATTTCTGATATGTGGTGACTATATAAGTTACTGACTTCATTACCATTGACACTTGTTGAAAAACAGCCCTGACAATTGCTTTGTGTGTTTTTTTTACATGTTTATATACCAGTAAATATGTGTAATATGGAGATATATAGGTGAGTATGAAAACCTTTCCCACATTCTAACAGGTATAGTTTTTTTTTAAGATGTAAGTCCCTGCCTACTGTTTAAAGTCTAAGAAACTGGTCGCTTACAATTGCATAATCGACTCACAATAATTAAGGAAGTATGTTGTCTTATGAGTACTTTATATTCTTTTTTCTTCCTTAGATGCCTTTTTTGCTTAACAAGAAACATATCCAGATATGCTGCAGATATTAAGCCTTTGCCTCCCAACATCAAAGATAAACTAATTAAATCGTTGAGTGTCCAAGGGTGGATAACTGATTCCAATATTAATACGGTAAATGTCACTTTTTCATCATTATGTCTTAAAATTAAAACAACAACAATGAAAAGACATTGAAAAGACATTTTTTTCCACAAATCTTGACCAATTTTGTCTTGATTCTCAACTAAGGTAAAACTGGGGCACAAAATTTGAGGAAATCGTAATTCTGTGTCCCTGGGGAATTAAAAACTAGTTTTCACTCTGAAAATTGGAAATGTGCTTGCAAATAGAAAACTTTATTCCTCCAGTTGCAAAGGAAAAAAGCAATTGGACCTAGTTTCTTCTATCCTCAGGGCAGTCTTCAATAACTTGGAGTAGTAAGATTATACTTTTATAATCATGAATCACAATCCCATAATATAAAAAGGAATTTTCACATAATGACAGAAATCCTGCTGCTTAGTGTAAAAAAAGCTGTAACTTTCTGTCTATTCTTTGCTGATAAATAAAGGTGCCATCACCACAGTTTTCAGGAGTATACGCATGCACCAAGCCAGTGTACATGTGTGCTCCAAAAATCATGGTGTGGACTCTTTATTTGTTAACAAGGAAAAAACAGAAGTTCTTATGCTAAGCAACAGGATTTCCAGTGTATTTATCAGCAGTCAAGCTGTAACAGGCAGCCGACAATCTCTTAGAAAAATTAAAATAATATATCAACAGTTTGTTTGCTTTCACTATGTTACACCACATACATATTTTCTAAAATTCTTTAATTATTTTTCCTCCTAAATCCGTCCTGGCATTATTTCTGTTATTTACTCCAACACTATTAAGCCAGTTTTGACGTACAGCAATCCTCCCATGGTTTCATGGGTATAGGTTTGTAGTTGGTATACGAAGTTGAGATGTGCGCCACTCCTCATTACTGCTGCCATCTGGGAGTCTAGAATCATGGAGTCCTCCTAAACTATGACTTGGCAAGGGGAGTGCAACCCTTTCTAGAATAGATTGAACCCCAATTCCCAAATCTGGCTTTGTATAAATAGATTTATGATAGTTTTCTAATGGAAAAGCTATTAAAATTGGCAAGCAGATATAAGCTCTCAATATGGCCCAAGGATAAAATTGTGATAGCATGCACTTTGGAAATGGTTAATCAGGATTGGTACTGCTGCCATCTGGGAGTCTAGAATCATGGAGTCCTCCTAAACTACGACTTGGATAGTGTTGGAGTAACTTAGATTTTAAACTAAAACATAAATGCAAGTGGATAGTTAGAGGATATTCAAACAGTGAAAAAAAGAGTAGAAAGTTGTTTTCATTGAAAAATGAATAGATTGGATGCTTGTATACTTAATATGAATAGATTGGATGACTATATATTTTTTACTCTCCTATCCTTAAAACCTTACTCCCATCCCTTCCACTTCCTTTTATCTTTTGTATTCCTTCCCTATTCCTAGTAGTTTAAAACTAAAATATTTAATAAAAAAGATTTGTGCCTCTTTCTTAGAATCAATCCGGCAGCCATCTTGGGTGTACCGGCGACCATTTTGAGCATCCCGGCGGCCATTTTGGGTGTACCGGTGCCCATTTTTTGTGTTCTGGTGGCCATCTTGGGTGTACCAGTGGCCATTTTTTTTTTGTTCTGGCAGCCATCTTAGGTGTTCCAGTGGCCTTTTTTGTTCCGGTGGCCATCTTGGGTGTACCAGCAGCCATTTTTTTGTTCCGGCGGCCATCTTGAGTGTACCAGCACCCATTTTTTGTGTTCCGGTGGCCATTTTGGAGCTGCAGAACAGTTGTTCCCCCATCGTAATGCGAGTGTGCCCTCGCATTAGCGATGGGGAAATCCGCATCGCAATGCGGATTCATCGTTCAACGGTGCACTCGTTATACGAGGCACCACTGTACTTAATATGAATAGATTGGATGACTATATATTTTGTACTCTCCTATCCTTAAAACCCTACTCCCATCCCTTCCACTTCCTTTTACCTTTTGTATTCCTTCCATATTCCTAGTAGTTTAAAAATAAAATATTTAATAAAAAAATTGGCCAAGCTCAAAACAAGTTTCTTAAACTGTTGATAAACACTAGATGAGGGTTCCATTATAAACAATTTTGTCTGTCACTTTGCAGCACTAAGGTAGACCAACTATTATTTTATGTAACACTGAAAACAGAGTGATCTCTTTTATCTCAATCTAATATCCTAAAATAGGAGCCAGTCCAGCAATACCTAGAGGACTACAAATTGTCCACACGTGTTTCAAGGGAATCAAAAATAAGCTGTTGTTTTGATGGTACATCTCACCTGTGACTGAAAGGTGCAATTTTGTACATGTCTACTGAAGCAGTAAATTTTGTGTAGTATTTAGTGACATTTGTTCCCAGGTGTAGGATTGTGACCTAAACAGAATTTTTTAACTAGTATTTGTAAAAAGTAGAATAATCAACAAAACCCTTTGAGGTATTCTCCATTTGTGCCTCTTTCTTAGAATCAAGTTATTAGAAGAAAGACCAGGCACAGATCAAAATCACTTTGCTGCTTAAATGTTCTTGATGTGGAGGACATATACAAATCATATGGTAGTATCAAAGTTAGTGTAAGTTCTGCCTTCGAAACTTTCCATTGTTCCTAAAAAGCAGGGCTTAAAATTAAATCCCAGTGAGGGCACTCATTCAGTACAGGAACTGAAAGCAATTCTTAAGCTTTTTATTGAGGCACAAAATGTAATTCAAACAGAATGGTTAAGCAACAATATAGCAACATTGTTTATCCAATAATTTCCAGGGGAGGTATCTTCCCAGGGAAAGCACAATCCGTGTTCCTGTAAATATTAAACAAATAGCATCTTAGCATATCTCTTTATGTTGCTATGTTTTCAGCACGTGCTGGGCTGCAAAAAATGCCATCCTTAGCCCATTATCAGCCAAAGTCTCATACTTTGGCTCATACTTTGGAGAGTTAGCACTAACTGTTGTGTAACAGTTGTAAAATACTACCTATTCATTCAAAAGAAATGCACAACCCAGCAGGGTGGAAGATGCTTTGGATATTAAACCCATGTAGGATTAAAAAAACTGTTTTTCTACCAGTTTGAGTAGATTCATTGAAATGTTGACCGTCCTAAAGGAAGCTATAGGATCGTGTTTCCAGAGTTGAGCAGGGCTATTGAGCACAGGACCTTGTGAAAGTCACTCATTTGTAGGGTCACCATGAGTCAATGGTGAGTTGATAGCATGTAACAACAACAATTGCTGTCAGTATGTAACTTGGTATTTGTGTCTTATTTGGAGACATTCCCTGGGTCTGTTTCTTGGATCATGGGGCTCTCCTTGCCTTCAAATGCAATAAATCTGTGGGTGATATTTATGTAAAGGAACACTTGCAGTTATTTGTGGCAGAAACATCTTTCCTATTGCAGATGCCCAAGATTCCATACACACACCCCTTCTACTGTTTGGTGCTAAAAGAGTGCATGGCTTACTGAGATCTTTGTATACACTCATTTTTAAGCCCCACTTCCTTTTAAGAAATCAGCATCTCTTTAAGAAACTGACATTTACTGAATCTGGTAGTCTTGTGGATCTTGCAAGACCAGATTGCTAACTCAGACCATCATGGAGTGTCTGCTAAAGAGAGGACAAGATACTTATGATGGAGAACAACCAGCTGGTGAGCCAGGGATGGAAGAAACAAGAATCCACTGGCTACTCCTGCGGGGTGTCTAGGAGCTTTCTCTTTCTGTTGGGCCTACTTGAAAACCAGGGAACATTGTCAAGGATAGAATGTGTTTAGTATGTCCAAATGGTTTGAAATGTTTCAGCCCATTTTTTGGTTTTTGTGCATGCTACTGAAAAAGGGCTCTTCCTAAGAAGCTTGTGACAGATCCAAAAAGCAGTCTGTAATTTGTAGTTTTTTTGTGTGTGCCATAGTACACTCCCTCAACACAGTTACCTCCTGGTACATTCATAGAACTATAGAAACTGGAAAGCTGGAAAGAACCCCAAGTCCAATCTGTGCCAAAGCAGGAAATCTAGCTAACTATCCTTGACAACTGACCTCCTCACCTCTGTTTAAAAATCTTCAATGAAAGAGAATCCACCACACTGCATTAGTTCTTTCTAAGTTTAAATGAAATCTCATTTCTCATAATTGAAATCTTTTACTTCTGGAGCTACAGAACACTGGTTGAACTGCATCTCTTATTCCTATGTCAGCTAATATGTTTGGCTGGGGATGATGAGTGTTAAACATCTGAAAGGTGCAAGATAAGGCAGTGGCTGTGCTACACCATGAAGAGATTGATTGCATTCTTTGCATTTTAGATTCTTCACCCGGCAGTGGAAGCACTGGATCTTCGGGACTGTGATGTTTCAGATAATGCCCTCCTACAGCTTTGTAACTGCAAGCAGCTTAAAAAAATAAACTTAAATGTTTGGAAAGACAACAGATCAACCATCACTTCAGAAGGTATGGTTTTCCTTGTGATAGTTATTTGAAAAAACACTGGGTAAATAAATTTTATTTCAGATGTGTTTCCCCCCCATGTTGTAATTTTTCTGTTGGACATATATGCACATGGAAACTATTTGTTCATACAGGAAAGTACACCCTCTTTGAATTCTATGGTCACATGTACGAAAGTACACCCTCTTTGAATTCTATGGTTACATGTATCAGTACATAATAAAAATCATGTGGTCTTTAGCAGATCTAAAAATTAGGTAAATATAACCTCAGGTGAACAACACCACATGACATATTGCACTGTGTCATGATTTATTTAACAAAAATAAAGTTAAAATGGAGAAGCCATGCATTAAAAACTAAGTACACCTTATGTTTCAATAGCTTGTAGAACCACCTTTAGCAGCAATAACTTGAAGTAATCGTTTTCTGTATGACTTCACTAGTCTCTCACATCATTGTGGAGGAATTTTGGCCCACTCTTCTTTTCAACCTTGCTTCAGTTCATTGAGGCTTTCAGGCCTTTGTTTATGCACAGCTTGCCACAACATTTCAATCGGATTGAGATCTGGACTTTGACTGGGCCATTGCAACACCTTGATTCTTTTCTTTTTGAGCCATTCTGTTCTAGATTTGGTGGTGCGCTTGGGATCATAGGCCTGACCCAATTTCGGCCAAGCTTTACCTGTTGGACAGATGGCCTCACATTTGACTCTAGAATACTTTGATATACAGAGGAGTTCATGGCTGACTCAGTAACTGTAATGTGCCCAGGTCCTGGGGCTGCAAAACAAGCCAAAATCAACACCCCTCCACCACTGTGCTTGACATTTGGTATGAGGTGTTCGTGCTACTATATTGTGTTTGGCTTTCACCAAACATGGCTGTGACGTTTACCCCGTGGCCCCTGCTTGTTTCATCAAACACAGAACTCACAAAGGTATCTCAACACACTCTTTTCCTCGCTGCCACCAGTTGATCTCCTTATCAGCCTATATTTCCTATGAAAGACTGATGTCCATTCAGTACCAAACTTTTAAACAGAAACAGGTTTATTGATTACAAATTGTTTTAGGAATAGTTCTTAAGCACATTCTTAAAGTTACACCAAGCTTCAATATTTTACTTTAACCTCTGCTATCTTAATTAATACCGGTCACACTCTGACTACGCACTCCCTAAACACTCTCTCTGCCTCAAACCCCCAAACTCTTATCTCCCCACTCTGTCTCTGACTGAACCCCCCAGACTCTGCCTCACCCCTCCCTTCTAGTTTCTTTGGCTCCGCCTCCCAACAGCTCTCATTGGTAGAACTGTTGGCTCTCATTGAGCCAAAGCAGGGTGATCAGTACAATGGCGCTGCGCCTTACAGACAGACAGATCTATTTTTGTCTCATATGTCCAAAGGACATTGTTTTAAAAGTCTTGAGGTTTCTCCATATGCAGCTTTGGAAACCTACGCCATGCGGCCATTTGCTTTTTAGAGAGTAGAAGCTGGCAACCCTTCCAAACAAACCATACTTGTTCAGTCTTTTTCTCTTTGTATTGTCATGAACTTTGCAACAATTTTTGTTGCAAAAAGCAGTTTCCCCCTCCACGAAAATGGGGGGGGGAGGAGGAATCACTTTCCCCCTCCATTTTCTTTGCAAAACGTGGAAGGGGAAAGCTGCTTTTTGCAGTGAAAATGTTGGGGCAAAGGAGGAATTGCTTTCCCCCTCCATTTTCTTTGCAAAACATGGAGCTCTTTGATCCCTCCCCCCTCCTTACGTCCATGTATAAAATGACCCTCAATTTGTCCTTTAATTATTTCAGGGAAAGTGTCATTTTATACATGGAAAAATACGGTATGTCCTGATAAAAGGAAAGATTAAAAGGAAGAGAGGTGTCACAGGATTTGCCCAATAGTATCTGATATAACAGCCTTCCTGAAACTATCTCGATATAAGTCTGGAAGGACACTTGGGAATGCTATGTCCCATTGTGGAAAAAAGATAGGATAGAAATATAAATAAATATGATTTGGAGCTGTGGTACTACAGTAGGAAATAAAAAGCTTTAAACAGAAGTAATTGAATAAGGATTAAGTGCAGTTAAATCCATCCAGAGCTGTGGTCAGATGCATTCATGAAGCGTCCTGAATATATTGACGAGATTGGCTATTTTTGCAAAGTTTTAGAATTTGTCAGAATTAATATTTGAAATATTTATGATTTAATTTCAGCATTTTTGTGTTGATACTGCAAATGTTTTATGCACTTTCCTTGAGATAATGATATCTTCTCTTGTTTAAACCTCCAGAGAAAAAAGTCCACTTTTCTGAGGATGACATGTACTCTCCCTCTCTTTCTCTCCCTTAGGTGTTGTAGCTCTTGCTTTGTCGTGCCCCTATTTATATGAAGCCTCTTTCAAAAGATGCAGCAATCTTACGGACAGTGGAGTCATTGCTCTTGCCCTAAACTGCCCACTTTTACAAATAGTGAACATTGGTGGATGCTCCAGTATCACTGATGCATCATTGCAAGCACTTGGGCAGAACTGTAGATGCTTGCATAGTGTGGATTTTTCATCTACCCAAGTAAGATCAATGGTAGTTAATACACAGCTTTACAGAATGGCATAATTAAATCAAGACAGTTTTGAGAATAGACAATGATTAGCTTTGTTGTTATCAGTGTTTGGGAATTTGTAATTTATATAAGCATTGATAAGCAGTTTACATTGCTTATCAATGCTTATCTAAAGCATTGATAAGCTTTAGATAAGCACTGCTTATCAATGTAAATAAAATCAATAGCACTGGGTTGTCTTGTTTTAAGTTTGATGGCTGACAGGTGCAGACGTTTGGAAATGGCCATGTTTGGATTACAACATCCCAAACCAGCAGTTCTATTATTTTGAGTTGTAGTTCAAAATGTCCACATTTCAGATGGACAACAGTGTCTCTGCCATCTATGACTGCTCACAAAGGCAGTACTGTATTTAATGTGTCAGGAGAGTTCACATTGCCCGAAATGATTCATGAAGAATCCATTTATGAACAGAGGTATTTTTAAAAGCTCCTGCCAGCCAGTTAAAAAAAACAACCCGATTTTGCAGCCCCCCAAAATCGGTTTCACATGTGCATCATGTAACTGGCAATTGAGTATTGATTGGGCATGAGCTCAAAAGCAGAGGAATGGCCAGTGAGTGACTACAAGGAAGAGGAAGGGTCTCACTGAAGGTATTCTGCTGAGGGTCCCTCAAAACCAGGAGTTAGTACTGAACTATAGACTGGCTATGTGAGTATGTTAGTTGGAGCGACCTTTAGGGCATACTGGTGCAATAGCAGAGGTTGGAAAAACTGAGGGACAGACTGTAGTCAGTAAGTGAGGCATCTGGTTGTGGAGCCAAAGGCTGGGAGTTCAATTCCTCACTATACCTCCACTGGCAGACTGTAGTCAGTAAGTGAGGCATCTGGCTGTGGAGCCAATTCCTCACTGTACCTCCACTGAGGAAATTTTTGAGTATAAATTATAAAACACCATTCTCCAGCAGGTTTCTTTATTAAGATTGTGCATGAAATAACACAGAGCAATGAGAGGCCCAGAGAGCGGGCATATTTTATAATCTAACTCTTCTTCATGCTTCCTTGCGCTTCTTTCTTTAGTGTTGTTTTTGGACAACAGTTCTTAGTTCTTCTTTTTAACATCTGTTGTGGTGATTTATTTCTGTGGTTAATTTCCAGACTGGTGCAACAGTCTCCTAGCAAGCATGATTGCTCTGTGTTGGCTGGTGGATTTTGGAAGTGGTCATCTTAAATATTAACTGTTCAGAGTGTTGCATAGCAGTGAATGTCGGGTAGCATCATGCTGGATGAGAAAGAAACAGTCTATATGCTTAAATTGGTTAGGTAGTTTTTGACAGTACAGGGTAGAAGATTAGATATTGGGGTCCTGACTAGAGTCTTTTTACGTAACTGGCAACCTCCACTGTTACATGCACATGAGTAGTTAGGCTGAGTTAGTTGCTCAGAATCTGCAGATCAGTGGATCTGCGATTCTATTAGTTCATGTCTCTTCGGATTGCAACCAGCAAATGCTTGGGACAAGTGTTTAAATGTTTTTTTCCAAAACTAATTGATTTGCCACTCATAATGGATCTCATGGATTTGTGTTTTCTCAGAGGAGTGCCTCTTACTTCTATATGGGGTGGTTCCTGAAAAAAATCAAAATGGGTTTTAACAAGACAGACAATTATCAAATATAGCAGGCCTCTGGCACCACCCTTCCACAAATAATTATATACCTGTGTTTCAGAATTTTCTGCTGCCAGGATCTTCCATAAAGTTGATTCCAGAGGCCCGCTATCTTTTGGAACAGATGGATTTTCAGGATCTCCGCTACACCTCTCTGTCTCCTGTAACAGCATAATGTATTCTATACCATTTGCTATCTCTTGAAATCACCCCACACACCCATACCAAACCAACAATATGGGAAAAGAAAATCAAAGGCTTTTCTTGCTGGAGTTACAGGTTTCTCTGTATAAAAGAGTTCTTCCATATTATACCACCTTTCAGGCTCTTCCAGACGTTGTAATAATGCTGGTGGTGTATTCTCAGTGTCAGAATCTGTGCTCATGTAATGCTTTCTGGGTTTTGCTGTGGTTTTGGAGTCCAGGGCCTTTTGGCTTTTTGCCTTTTGGGATGCCTGGGGGGAGGGGGGCTGATTTTCCTTGTCCTCTATCTTCTCAAAGCCTCACTGGTCTCTGAAAAGATCTGCAGGCATGCCCAGAGCTTCACAAAAACAACTGCTGTGGATGTTGTGGGTTTTTCGGGCTTTTTGGCCATGTTCTGAAGGTTGTTCTTCCTAACGTTTC